AATTAAGATAAACTATGTTTAACCGTATAACAGTAATTTATATCGAAATCACATTTGATTTGATGAGTTGGTAACTTTAATATGTATCAAAACCTTAACGATATAAGATAAGGATAATTTATAACTGTCATTTTTAATGAATCAAAAGTTTGACGTTTACCAGTAACCTGAGATTTTGTCATATTTTAAACTTTTTGCCAAACGATATATTCATAGAAGATCAAAGTTACAAAAATCTATTACATAAATTATTTTGAATGAATAAATATAAAAAAATTAAAAGAATGATTAAAATCATATTAATTTAATTTTTTTATACTACACTACATATAAATTATCAAAATTTTCTTTTCGTTCGTTCAGGTTATTTAAAATTGTACAATTTTATATCATTTGTTAAGCATTTATTTTTATAATTCCATAAAACTGTACTGGTACCTTTTATGTGCTTAAGTTAAAAAATATTTAGTTTCCTTAAACGATATTTCTGTTAGCTTTATTTAGGTGATAACATTATTTCGTTTATTTATTTAATATCATGTTCGTTTAAAGGCATTTATTTATAAAACTCGCACATTGTTTTTTCGACTTGTTGAGAACATTAAAGTTCACCTTAAATTTATATTCATCTGTTTTCGTTTTTTTAATTATGGCTCAAAATATATTTAAAATGTGTAAAAATGCAATTTAATTTTTTTCCGTGTTTTAATCAGTATATGTGTGTAATTATTTATATAAAAATAATATAAAGAATTATTCTTCAAAAATTCTACTACAATCCTTCTCCAAAAAATATTATGCAAACTACATCTATTTTTAAATAAGCATAAGGATGGTTGGGTTTATTCAGTTTTATAGGTGTATACGTAATAGTGCGCAAAGTAAAATTATTTTTATTAGAGTATTATAGTAAAAAAAGAGAGTGGTTAAGTATTCCAATCCTGCTCATGTCTAAATCTTGAAATGTTAACTTCTTAAATGTAAATATAACTTGTCAGAAATATTAGTATCTTGTCCATTTTAATTAACACAAAAAATATAGTTTTATCCCCTCTTTTTCCCCCTTAAAATTATATCATCTCCAGTTTTTTAATGGAAATATACATGTTTAACTAGCTAACAAACAATAAAGTTCTAAACTAAGAAAATGACTGATCAATAACTATTTTAAAGTATTTCAGTTATTAAAACATAAGAATAAATAATAGAAATGACGTGTAAGTCATTTTTTTTATTTTTATGTTAATGAAACATACTTGTTTCCATTAAAAAAAAAATTAGGTTATTAAATTTAAAGAGGAAAAGAGGAATAGAATAATATTTTTTTAAAATAATTTAAGTGAATAGAAATTATTATTTCTGAAAAGAAAAAATATATTTTATCTTATACTTTTAAAAACAATACATGAGACATCCCGTTTCATTACTGAACACCTATATGTAATTATAATGTATATAGATATTATATTCATGAACACTAACTATATAATAAAACAAATATGTAATATTGACAAATAGGAATTACTAAAATCATGAATAATTTTTAATCTTTTTCAACATTATTTTTTTATAATGAAAAATTGATTTATTTATTTTAAACAAAATAATTAAGCTGTAATAATATTATTTTCCAAAGTAAAATCCCTGAAATCCTATAAATAAAATCTAATGTTTGTGCCTTCAAGTTTAATCTATCGCGGTTTTANCTAACGTTTGTGCCTTCAAGTTGAATCTATCGCGGTTTTTGTATAATAACTTCTTGTGGGTCGTGAATTGTGGCTTCACTTTCTTTATCTATTCGGATTTCACCGTTTAAAATGAAAATTATGCCATCATAATTCTCATAAATAAACAACTTTGCTAGAATAATTCTTTCAATTATCTTCTAGTGTATACATATCATTAAAAATTGCAAAAAGAATACTTATTCTTTTTTTTATTTTTCTCTTTTCATTTTCTTATATATGTGTGTGTATGTATATGAATGTATGTCTATCTATCTTTTATACAGTAATCATCTGATCGTCATTAAACTTTAGGAAGTTATTGAGTATACTCCTGCAAAGATTTCTGCCATAATACATCTATCCCACGATAGGTGGCAAATTCAGCAACGCTCAATGGATAAACTAATCATTCTTAAAATATTATTTGAATCAAACTTAAAAGTTTCAGTAACTAATCAAAATATATATACTTTTATTAGTATACAATTCATTTGGTATGAGATTAAAAAGTACAAATATGTATGATAACAAATAGTTTCTAAATGTTATAAATTTTTATTACAACATAGAACGCTTAGATAATCTAAATCATAATATTGTTTAATAAGTTCGTTATTATCTAAAACTAAGTTTTGAGAGTAGAGGATCTTTTATTTAACTTAAAATCGTCTAAATAACCGTGGTTTAAATATATCTGATCCATCAAAGGCTTTAAAAAATTATTTATCTATTTATTAATGATATTAAGAAGGAATACTTTGTAATTATGCTGTTTAAAGTTGAAAAAATATAAATTCATACATTTTTAGCTCTATATAATTAATATTTCTCTTACCATTGACCTCACACGAATTTTGAAACAAAAATAAAGTCATTTCATCAATAATACAATTCAATAATTTTCTTTGAATTGAGTCAAAAAATCATTGATGCTAAATAATGTACAATCATGTATAAAACAATGTATAACCCTATTTATTATTTTAAGTTAAAAATGTACTATCTTGGCAGTTTTACCTGTACACAATTTCTTTTAACTGTACAAAAAATGCATTTTTTTTTTTTTTTTTGGCAAACGATTTATTATTTCTTTCAAAAATAAATTACGTATTGACTTAAAAATAATCATAAATGATTATATGAAAATATTAAAACGTTAACAGTTAAAATTATATAATATGAAAATTTTAAATATACGTGATACAACGAAGGCTATGATTATTTAGTTGAAAAGTTGGGTTTTCACAATTTTTAACCCTATACGCCTAAATTATTATCCCCAGTGACAAAACACATATATTTTTAAATAAGCCCGCATAACTTGAATTTAAATAAACTTTATCTATATATTGTCACGAAACAAATTTACAAAGAGGAATGAAAAAAAGGTGAAATAAATGAGTACATACGGTCATGGCTAGCCGGTTAACTAGGTGGGAATCTAATAAATAATAGAGGACCAAAAGCAACAATATGCTTCAATGTAATTATTAAAAACTGGCTCGTAACAACGGGAACTATATTTAAATCCTTAAACTGGCTAAATATAACTGCATTATCAACTCTTCACACAATCAAACACATTAATCAACACTTTTTGTGTTTCACTAAGATATTTAACCAACATAAAACTTTTGAATCCACACGAAGATTATTGAAATTGACTTAATAAAATATATACTTCTGATAAATGACCCTAACATGACATTTAAACATTTTAAATACTTATAACAATATAAGTATGAAAAATACTTATTTTTAACATTAAGAAAATATTATTCTTATTTTAATAAATCCGAATTTATTCAATAAAAATTTGAACCCAAACTACAACTAAATTTTATTGAAAAAATATATACCTAATCATAAATTAATATGTTTGTAATGCCGGCTCAGTACTGACGGTACTGGTACAATGTCAATTTTCAGTACTGACATATATCTGGGATGATAACACTTTTCCGTACTGACAGATCAGTACACGAGGTTTAGTATATAACCAATATTATGTCAGCTTTCTGTCAGAAATGACAGCCGAGTACTGACGGCCAATCAGCACTTAGACAAGACACCAGCCAGTCTATGTTAGTACGGGATAGTCAATGGTTAGTTACTGGTGTAATTTGAAATATTAGTAATACTCCGTCCATAGTCAATACTGATATTTAATAAAGTTTCTATTTTAAGACAGTACTATTTTTAATAGTATTCTTGTTAAAGAAAATCAGATCTAAATTACTGGAAACGCAGGTATATTAGAGCCCATTAAACGTCAATGAATGAAGTTAATAAAATAGAGAGAATGTGAATTTCCGAAAAAATGACAATCTCAAAAGCAATTTTAGCTTATTGAGCCCGCAATATTATTATTTTATTCTAAATGTTATCAAATTGTTAGATAACAGTCTGAAACTCTAGTAAATAGATGTTAAACGCTATAATTATAATTAAAATATTCGCACCATGCAGGTTTTTATAGAACAAGTATAAATCAGGTAATTTATTAATCAATTTTTTTTTTAAAATATAATTGTTATGTATAAAATTGTTATTAAAATCAAACCATTAATATTAAAATAAGTTTGGCTTATAGCTATTATAATAGTAATATATGTTGTATACGTCTTAAAAGCGTTCTAGTTTAAAGTTATTGTATAAAATTATTCTGACAATAAATAATTATTATCCTTTGGAAAGACTTAAATTTGAAGCGGTTGACCTAGTGATGCATGTGAAAAATTACTTGTACTTATTTCTTTTAACATAAGTTGACTATATTAAGTTAAAAAAAAGCTACATGTATCCAAATGTCAATAGTAATATTCAAATCTTAAAAATGAATTTATTTCCCTATAAGGTATAATATTGCTATTTGATACGTCACCATCGATCACAATTGCTATATTTTTTATATAACTTATGCATTCATTCCGTAAAAAGGAAAATTGACCATCGGTCGCCGTAATCGGATCCGCCTGTAGAAGCGGATGTAAGCATTGTACAAGAGTTGCTAAGCATCAGCTGTAAACAGAATGTATACCACGGAAATTATTTGATACCAATTGAGTTTCACGCTAAAAAATTATCGATACCTATTAAATTAATAAAAAATATGTACATTCGGAGATTCCTGTTAATAAAAAAAAAAACTTCCTAACATATTGTAGCGTGCAAGTGTGTACGCGCAAAGTCAAGAGGGGATATCCAAGGGAAAGTCTTCTTAGCGCGCACTTATCATGGCGCAGGTCATCCACTATAACGGCACCTTGCCCGGTATATAGCTCTACTAAGTTTAAACTACTCTTTTAGTCAATTGCCGAAGTTCAGTTTGTCGCATTAAGGAGCTGATACAGTTCACTTGTGATTGTCGTGTGAGTGTGTGTTTTTTTACATTTCTTCGCGCGTTCAGTGCCGTGCGACATCTTCCGTCGATTCGCGCTAACATAGTTCGGATCGTCGAATATAAATCCGTGGTGTGGACGAATTTTCACTCACGAGTTAACTTAGCAAAAAACCAAAGGTCAGTGTGCGTCTATTGTGGCGAAAACGTTGTATAATTATTTTATGATTTTTTTTTTTTTTTTTACGTGCAAACAAATGAAATATAAATATTTATAACATTCAATTTTTAAATACATCAACCAATTAACTATATCATGATCATTAAATTGCTGTAACGCAAAGTCACTGTTTTTATACGACGGCCGACAGGATAATAAAACAATTAAAATTTATATTAATAACTACATTGTACTTGAGTAATATTGTTCATAGTAGATAAATACTATAAACATTAACACGTACATCGCTATGGGACGGAAAACATATTATAAACTCAACAATAAATTCTGTACCTAAGCCTGTAGAAACCGGACTGAGATTTTTCCCTAAAATTCTAGGATGTATGCGATCCGGGATCAGAAAGATTTTAAACTGCCCGCGGATACCGCGATCTCCATTAGCGACCCTAATGAGACGATCAGTGATGTCATGCCGCCTCGTCCTTGCGATTTGTCGGTGAGATTTACACGATCAACTCTGTAGCTATTAAAAATAGTACACATTATCTTCATATTGTAATGTATTATTTTCTTTAAATTCACTTCCGAGGGCTTACGGGGTAGCACACGTTCAAATGCTTCTATCACGACGGCCGACAAAGACTCGCTTGCAGTTGTGTTGGGCTTATTCAAACTGTAACGATTTCTGTAACTATTACTCTATGGTACACTTTGATGTATGCAATCAAGTAAATTAGATTTATACGTAATGAAATACAGCTAATTAGTACTTGTCGTATTAGTGTAGACGCATTTAGTTGTGGTGGCATTTAGTTATAAAAACATTTTAATCATAGATCTACTCTCTTATGGTTCTTGGTTCTTCTTAGGTTACGGGTAATGGTCATACTAGATTTGTTGTGAACTCAAACAAATGTACGTGGCCAAACTTGGACAAGGTTCACGTTGGTATAATAGTAACATTAAAAATCGTTATAGAATAAATAATTATATATTAGTTAAATAGTATCATCTGGTAGCACTTGCGTTGTGTAATGTGTATTACAACGTGAATTAAATTTTATTTTGCAGACTAACTTTTAATTGAATATTTCCAATAGACACTATTCATAATTACAAAAAAAAAATTAATTTAAAAAATTCCATTATGTTTTATTGATAATTTTTAAATATGTTTGAAACGTACATTATTATTTGTTTTTTTATCATAAATGATCAAACAAATCTTTATGTACAAAATAAACGATACAATAAAAAATTTCTCAACTATTTTGTCAAATATATAACTTAAAGTCTGTTGGAATAATAATTCATATAAAATGAGCTACGCAATTTGATTGAAACACAAATGTGTAAAAAATATTTACGTCAATATGTTTCACCAAAAACGATTTGTTTGAATTTTATTTTTCAATTATTCAATTAAAAATTTTTTTGGGATCTAAAAATTTGATGAATTAACTGTACATTATGATATTTATGTAAGATTTTTCAATAGTAGAATTTATATTGCATACATTTAAATCATATTCTATTGAAAGAAGCAATAAGATAAATCATTATCATTATTTTTAGCTGTTTTATTTGCATATTTTTAGAATTGTTGAGTTGATAAGATATCATTTTGTGCTCAATATTATTTTTTATGCAATAATCATTGTTAACCATAGGTGATAGATGCTTAGGTGGTTAAGCGATAAAATTTGTTTTGTATTTTTGCAGATGATTAAGTGGATATTGATCGTAACCCTTGGGTGCTGCGCACTAATTTACACCGCCAGCTCATCACCTATCTCTACCGAAGAACCATCTAGATTGGTAAGTTCATCCGAAGTAACAGACAAGGTAGCTCCAACCCCAATAGACAGCGGCAGACAATCAGCAGAATCGTCAGGCTCAGCAGCTTCACCAGCTCCAGTATCTGAAGTACCACAGCCAGTTGTCGCAGCCGCCGCCCCATCAGCCCCAGCGGCGTCCACGGACGACGATGACGATGACGACGACGATGATGATGATGATGTCTTAGACTTAGATATCACCGGCGACGACGATGACGATGACGATGATGATGACGATGATGACGATGACGATGACGAAGAAGACGACGAAGAACAAGCTGATGTTGTGCCACAACCAGCCAGTGCCAACGGTAATGTTGCTTCTTCCGTAAACGGTGGCAACGCTGGTGGATCACCTACAGCTACACAAGCCTCATCGACCAGCGATGATGATGATGATGATGATGACGATGAAGACGATGACTACTTCGACAGATTCTTCGATGACATCCTCGGAGGTTAGTATCGAACCAACATTTACGTTGGAATTAATCTTATTATGTTGTTAAAATATTTTTAGGGTCTACTACTCTTCTACATACTCTCTCTTTCTTCCGTCAAATGGGAAATTGTAGCTTTTACAATGTAGTTCTTAAAATGTAAACACTTAACTAGCACAGCGTTAAATTTCGCACGATATCACACAAATGTAATAAAATAATATTTTATAATAATATTAATATAATACTTTTATGTAATCCTTGATAACCCACCGAATCAGGATTAACAGTGTATTATGTTAATACTATTATACCATTATTTTGCTTGTAGAAAGGTACATAGTCGCAGCCTTGTTTGTCTCTTTGCCGTCGACCCATTCAATGAGACAAACCCTAGATCCACGCGCTTGAAGCGTTTTGTTATTGACCGTGTAATAATATCGAGGTATATTTAAAAAATATGAACGACTCTTCGTTACGCCGCATCGCTTTCCCGCGGACGATTTCCCAATCGTATAATAGCTGTGGTAACAACGACGACAAATAATAACATAGATAATTTCACCGCGGACAAACGAATCGAATCGTTTTCTAATCATAATCGATTAAAAAGAAAATCTTTTAAGAAATGTTCTCCGATGACAATATATTAACAATTGAATACAAAATCGTTATTATTTGATTTTACTGAAACTATAAAAATTATAGCACAGTATAATAGCATAATAATTTCCTCTTAAACAAAATTAAAAAAATTTTTACAAAAACGATAATCGTTCAAAATCAATTAACATCCGTATTAAATACAACTGTTTGTCAATCTAAACAAGAACGCATTTAAGTTTTAGATTACAAACAACAAAGTTCGATAATTATTAAAACTTTAGATCTACTGTAATATCAATTTTACAGATTTAATAATAATGCATTTACGGTTAAATTTTACAGCCCTGATCAATCAAAGACAATAGATTTTGAAAACCCAATTCCAAATACTACAAACTCTAAGATAAAAAAAAAAAGCACGTGGATCAATAAAAAGAGTTGCTTCTTTACTAAATATAAATAAATTATGAAATACCTCGTACCGCTTCAAAACTCGACAACAATTTGACGATGACTTATACTTGACTTTTGTTTGTTGAAACATGATAAATTTGTCACAATACTATACATACTTTAACGAGATAAAATTAACAATTCAAAACGTTAGGTATAGCAAAATATGCTTCAAAATAAAACTTTAAAACATAATTACAAGACAAATATGTTTTATGGCATTTTTACTATTTTGTTTGCACACAAAAGTGAAGTTCAATATTTCATTTTTTTTCACTATTGCACTAGTCATGTTGAACACCAATCATTTTTTTTGATAAGCTATAAAATTAATTTATTAATTGCCAAAAAATAGCACTAACTTAAATAATTAAGATTTTACTGCACACATTTTGTACTTTACCAAAATTCGTCCCTATGAATTTTTAACAAATATGAATTTCAATGTTTCATTAAAATATTAACCTACAATTGTCAACGCTAAACATGAGTGATGTACGAACATCAGCAGAACGATAAATATTTAAATATAACACATTTTTTTGAAATTTCCATTTACTATCATAAAATCTAACGAGGACAAATTTTGGTCATTCCGTAAGATTTCCCACGGGAAAAAGAGGGGGAGACGTGTGTAGATCTTGGTCAGTTAATGTGACAAGATTGTAGTAGGCTTTTGAACATGATTGTGACACGAGTGTAATTTGGCATTGTGTGTCTGTTTATTTTTTTTTAGGTTGATCGAACTAGATCGACCACGGGAAACTAAACAATTACAGAAACACTGATAACATCAAGATAATACAACACAATGTGTACATATGACCTATGTATACACTTGTAAATGACATGTGAAAAAACAACATCGAAAAACACATTTCACTACTTAACGGACTCGATCAAAAACATATAAATAAAAAAACTTAGAGTTAAGATTGTAGAAACCAAACTTATTTATTTTAAACTCTAATTTAATTATTTATTTAATATTTATTTATTTATTTATTTATTATAGATTTATTATAGATTTATTTATTTTTTCGCCGCTTTAAATTACACATGATTTTTTTTAATTATTCAAAATTTATTTTTACTGATTACTGATTTAAAATATATTTTTTTGAGACAATATTGTTACCATAATAACAAACACCACACGAATACATAGTGTCATTAATACAAAAAAATGTAAGTTCGTGTTCAATAGCATAAGATTAAATATTACTTTAAATAATCGAGTGTCATAACAAACATTATTTTTTTTATTATCAAAGAAAAACAAAACATGGCTGTGATAGCGATTATTTCAGCAAATAAACAGATTTTATAACATTAAAATTGATTTATATTTTTTACTATATTATTATAAACCAATTGCTCTTATTTTATTGCAAACGCCATTGCTGAGAATATAAATATAAGTACCAAAATATGGTGAAGGTATGCCGTACATGGTATTAATGAATAGTAATTAAACGCTTCTAAGTAATTATACTTATTTATTTTTTGGCTGATAGTATTTGGTATTCTCGGATGGTGACCGGTATTGTGTGCAGACCAGGAAACCTTTTCATGTGGTATTGTTTTTAATTATAAATCTTTTTTTAAGTTTCCTGTTCCAGTACATTAACGCACACTAACTCAGCATTTAAGTAAATAGATATTGCAGTTATTATTAATATTATATGATTAAAAAAATTTTGTCGAAACAGCACACCAACTGATCGGCCAGAATTAAAAAAACTGTTATTAAATAAAATTCACAATTGTCTAATGTGAAATAAGGGTTGTATAGTAATATAATACCACATTCTAAAGCTCATACTAGATTGCATAAAATTTAGCAGACAGACAATACTTTGAAATTTCATGTTTAGTAACTAGTTAGTGTGATGTTTTTTATACGTCGTTTTTGATTAACAATAATGACCCTAAAAATACAGTTGTAAACGTTTTTACTGACCGATCAGCTGGAATACCATAGATTATAACGTATTGGTACGCGAACTTAATCTATGGTTATATAATTAATGGACAGCTAACATTGTTGACGGTTTATCGACAGATAGTGATGATGATGATGATGATGATGATGAAACACCGGGAACGGTCTCTTCCGTGGTGCCGATATCTGGATCGGTGTCCAGCACGATCACGCCTTTAGGACAATCGGCAAGCGAATCGGTGGACTACCCTTCAGGAACTGCCGGTGAGCAACCGACAAACGCCGACTACGATGGAGCCGTCGAGGAAGGGGACTCGTCGTCATCGTCGTTTTCTGACATAGATGGTCCGCATACTGTCACCTTATTGTCTCCATTGCCAAATGATGACGAATTAGCTGGTAACGGCAATGCGGTATCAGTCCAAGTCGTTGACTCGAACAGCATAGCTTCCGCAGTTGCCGGCCAAGCCTCTTCCCAGACCGAAACGAGTGATGATGATGAGGACGATGATGATGATGATTCGGCAAACGAAGATGACGACGACGATGACGATGACGATGATGACGACGATGACGAAGATGATGACGACGATGACGAGTCCTCAGATTCGGAAGCCAAGAGTGCTGGACGAGCTCGTGAGTGGTTTACGTAAATGCATGACCCTCTTGACTCAATGAGTCCTTATGACTATTATTTGTACAGAATTTTTCATCTATCCTTGGCATGCTTGGTTTTGGGAATCGGTTCCATTCTAATTTTAGGTGAATGTACATTTAAGACGAATGAAATTAACCTCCCTAGTTTAACAACAAAAGATGGAATTTTTAAATTTATTAATATTAAAATAATAATTAACATACCAAACCTTTGTGAGATTTCTAACGGATTAGCCAAGCATTCATATAAAATCAAACGATCGAATGATTTATTAAAAATAGTCTCAATAATACTTCTGAAAATTCTCATACTGCATAATGCTACTAATAGATTATATCCGTCAATAATTTCTATTACAAGAATTTCCAGGGCCGAATTAAAAACTATATAGGTCCCGGAGCAGTTATCTTGAGATGAAAGATAATTAAAAATATCGATACCATAAAAAAGTGATGAGCAAAAAAACAGTATGTACTAATCGTGACAGTCTAGTAAATTTTGTGATGGGCCCCGAAATGTTTAGCCCCCGCTTAATCCAGAGTGTTTCAATAATTTTCCTAATAACATAAACAAATTTGTTATTTTGAAATTTTACTTTTAAAAAGTAATATTATTTCTATCCAAGGCTCAAATAAATTTTATTTTTAAAGGAAAAAGAGAAAAATATTTAAACAGTCCGTAAGTTAGTATTTAATGATTCGTAATAAAAACTTCGGTAAATATTTTTCATCTATAGATTAACATTTATTTTTAATATGCCAGAGACATACTCTCCACCTAAGCTAATATTTATTCATTGCTTTTTGAAGTTCAAGCAAGGTGTACATAGCATTCACAATAAACTTTGGCTTATAAGGCTTATGAAAACCAAATTTGGTTTGTTAAGAAAAATCGTTTAATGATTTTTCAATATGGTAAACATACATTGCATCAATACTTTTTGAGCTTAAAAAAAATACGTGCTTTCAACGTTTAAATTTTTGGGAGTGTAAATTTACAAAAATAACACAACTAATAGTCATTGACATTTACATTTACAGCGTAACATTTATGTAAATACATCTATACATCGTACCTAACCTATATAGATTATATTTCTAGCTAACATGTTCATAGCAGTTAATAAAATTAATATCCATCTTGATATTTATCAAATACATCTCCACACGAGATAAAATTAATAAATACTATATATTTTTTAATATATACAGCAGAACCGTTATTTTGGTGCAAGTTATTATAACCTGTTGGCCATCAATCTTTTCATACAATCATACTTCAAACATACTCAAAACGCTCAGATTTTTTTTATACACCAATCTAATAATATTTTATCAATTTAAATAACTTTCCCATTATGCGTTCGTCAGTAAATAAATATTTGGGTCAACTAAAAGTTCTAGATACTACTAAAAATAATTATATAGATAGTTTAATCGACTACTACGGTCTAAACGACGGTAATGTTATTTTATTTTGGACTGACATTACCTCCTACCCGTTGGATTGTCCTCGTACATTTAAAAATTATTATGCAGATGGTTTTAATACTTTTGGAACGCATAACCTACATAATCTTCAACGATACGTCACGTTGAATAATTTAAAAATATTCTGTAGTGAAAATGCCTTGATTAAAAAAAAAGTAAATATATGATGACATCACGTTTTTACGGTAATTAAACTAGTTCATATTAATTTCGTTATTGACTAATTAAATAAATTAATTTTAATATTTCAACCAAAATTCAACACTAGTGTGATATCACAGAATAATAGAAGATTTTATTTTTTACAACATTTTTTCTTAAACTAACTCAGAATTAATATGTATCCTGTTGCTATAAGCCAATAACGTTGTCGAATCCCTTGTAATCCTATCCGCGAGGAATCGTTTGTATTCAAAACGAAATCCCGCGGTATTATGATAAGACTATCATCTTAACTAGGTTTTCACGGTGGAAACGTCTAACGTCGACGGGCAAACGATATTAATAAAACGTAACCAACGCCTTATCAGGAAGAGTAAAAGCATTTCATCGCTCCCATATCCGTCTACATAAATTAATTTTATTACAACTTCCCTTCAGCGGCGAGCGGATACGTCGGCTAATCCCATTTGATATGTACGAGTGCTACCGAGTGCACCTCCCTCCCCAGATCCACAACGATATTCCGGAAACCCGCATCCGGATACGACGGTAGCATTCCCCCTCGGAACAGGTTCAAGGATGTGACCCCGTTACCGGTCGCGTATATGTGTCGACCTTGTGGGCGTGCCGTAATCGCGGCCGTCGTGACAGTCGCCCGCAGGACAAACGGACACTAACTTGAACCGTTTCACGGTATAGAAAGCAACCGGAATAACATATTTTTTGTTGGGTACATAATAACGATAAAACATTATAATCTTTCTCGTAACAGAGGCCTTCGAAACTGTTTTTCTAGAAAAAACGACAAACTTTCACCGTCTGGGTGGTCGGTTTGTTTTAGAAAATGGGCGTTCTCAACTATTGTCCTACTAGTATGAAAAATTGCGTTTTATATTGATGGTCAGTCTGTATAATTCCGTCTTGAAGTTTTGTTGTCATTTGATTGCCAAGAAGGAAACGTTAATGAGTTTTTACATTGGTTGTTCACAAATTTTAGGGGCCTAATTCGTAAGCTAAGACTACGTTTTTTCTTATGCTTGCCCATTAAATAACAAATAGGAAAAAGAGAAAATTAAGTTCAAAGGGACCTTTGTAGTAAACCATCAGTATAGGACGAACTCGAGAGTATTATGCTGTGCCTACAGAACAGCGGTTAGTCATGAATATGTACATAGATAGAAATACACAATAGTTGTTATGGACAAAAGACATTTTCCAGTGAACTGCATGTTTCGGCTTTCGGACGATTTAACTGCATATTATACGGCGACGACATTTTCGGTGGTAATGGTAGGCGAGTGACGGTACACAAATGGTCGGTACAATGTAATGGCATGAACGCATTAGAATATTTGACCTGGCAGGTACAACGCGATTAATAATTTCGACGGTGCCATAAATTGACGTCTGACTAAAGCTAACAGTTCTCTGCCCCGGGTGCTGCGAGAAACATTCCATTTCCGCTGTAGATTTTATCCCCGAATGCATCCAACCCGGGACAATAAAAATACATGTACCACCGACATGTCCGTCCAGTGACCCTTTTACAACACACCATTATTCTGTGCCAATGTTCGCAACAATAATAGTAATAATAATAAATAATAATAGTTACACCTAAACACACGCACATCTGCGAATATAATGTAACTACGGCACTTGACATCGGTAATTGTACGTGTGTGGGTTTTTCTGAAAAGAAAATTGCTTTTTTCGCTAACAATATAAAACACGTACTTGTATTTGTGTGTAAACACCGTTAAAGTTTACTATTTCCTTGACGAGTACGAGGAGGAGGTTGATAGTTTACTTTTTAGTCTGGTAGATCGTACCTGAACTGGAACACACGCATTACGTTTTTGCTTTATTAAAAAACATTTTTCATAAAAAACACATTTCTAAAACAAGAGCAATAATTGTTGTTGTGAAAACAAACGGGGAAAAAGTCGTTAAAATAAAAGTAATGCCAGGTAATAATATGAAAAAAGATAAGTAAAAACACTCAACGCCAAATCCAATCGATCCTAACGTCAAAAACAAAAACATGATTCGAATGTAAAAAACAGATTTGCCGCTCTTGAATTTTAATAGGATTTTTCCGATCGCCTCAGTAACCGTAAGTGGATAAGGGTTAAAGTATATTTTCGTAGTAACAACTGAATTACCGTCGTGAGGGGAAGGGACAAAGTAATAAATTATAACATTATTGTGCCCAGTCTCCTACACGATAAATTGAAAAATGATGTACAAATAATACATTAATAATGAAATAACAATCATGTTACACATCTCTCGCCTGATTTTGTATCGTATTAACATACCTAATTTTATCGACAATAACACTCTTGGCTTGTCGGCGAGGCACATGGAAATACACGGCCATTAATATTTACAGGGTGTTCAAGAAGTATGCAAACAGTATACATTTTACAATCAATGAGTACAATAGGATCCCATTTTCTTACTTACTGAACACCCTATACATTAACAAGTGTACATAAATGTAATGATTTTTATTAATACGTCAACACAAGCATGGAATTAATGTAAAGTTTACCATGACAATAATAATAAAAGGTACAATAGAGACGACAGTGTACACCGTGCCAGATGCTGGTTTCACGGAGGAATGCTGTTATCGAATTTAAGGAGGCCAAACTGGTCTACTGTCCGTACCACTTATGTGGTTCTATTTTGCGCTCGCTATCCAACAACCGCAATTGATAAACACGCCAATAATAATGATATTAATTTTAATTTGTAATAGACGATTGTTGTTGTAATAATAAATTCGGCGCACACGCGGATCTGAAGCCGAATCGGGCTGATCGCAAGAATAGGTGGCGTTGGCTGCGACGACTACGACCTGAAAACTAGGCGCGAGACAAGGAATAATAATAATAGCGTTAATGATAACGTTAAAATAATAATATCGAGAAGCGGTTAGGCGTTAACATTATAGCGCGAACGTTGACCCAGCACCGAGTGTAGCCGGTGTAATATTGTACATTATGCAGTGTAGCGTTATTAAAAACATACGCATACGCAGTCATAGATGATAAACCGGGTGATTAACGGATCTTTCGTGTACCCACTGGTGGTAATTATGTAGTTACATTGGTGTCGGACGGAAGGTCTCCAGCGTCGTAGTCATCACTCAAACAGACATCACGTGAGCATTCCGATGGCGAAAAATCTTAATAATATCTCGTAAACCAATTGCCAAGGGCGTAGTAGAAAAACGGTAAAAACAATGTTCAGTTATCTTTAAACGCGAATGTGTTCGCCATGATACTCGTGTAAAAATAAGCCCACTGTAAATCTCTGGTAACTAATCGTGACTCGATATTGTAATTTATTTATTCATACTGGAAATATATTCATTGTACCATCGTAAGCTTTATTACCGGTGTTGGCTAATTTTTTATTTATTCGATTAGTTTTGAAACATTATTACCCGAGTAAAAACAATAAACACTAATAATAATAATATTGAAAAAATAACTTCAAAATGTACACTCTTGTCTTCATCTGAATAATAGATAATAGCCCCATTGTTTTTCACACAACATCTTGCAATAATTGTAACTTGAGAAGTTATTTGAGAAACTCATCCCACAGCCCGTCCCTTAGATGTTTATACTTTTGGTCCTGGCTATTTTATATGAAATTAAAACAGTTCATATAGGAAAAGTTTTGTATAAGAAATATTTTTATATCACATTAGATATAATTTTCTGAATTACTCGGGGAGCATTGAGCCCTAACTTTATCTATAGTAATCTATTTATATTAACTTTGTAAACACAATCTTTACACTTCATTTTTCTTGCATCGCAAAAATACGATGTCACTATTATTATTTTTTGTTTTTGTATTTTAAACAAACTTTTTAAACCCAAGTGTTCAGCCACCTGCGCATTTTCTTTTATATATTTTCCATTAAGTAATTCTGACCTAGTCTCTAGGGAATTTTACACCAGCTGGTTTTGACACTGTGTCAACATACTTGGCTTTATAACGATTATTTGACTTTTTTCAACGAAAATATTTTTATTTTATTTATATTATCTCTTACTTGAAAACAGCTCAAACTTTTGGCACGGTGTTAAATGAAAATACTGTTCGTTTATAATATTATAATTGTGGTATGTGGGTCTAGAAACTTGGACCTGTGTAACTTAATAATATCTAATACTAAAATAGGTGCCATTCAGACTAACAATCCTGTGACAGTACCACCGTCATATATAGCTAAATATAACAGATTTGTAGACAACATATTGAACAGAATTAATAAGATTTTAAGTAAAAACTACGATCCGGTTAACGTACGTCTTCAAACCCCCACTGAAACTACTGCTGATAACAAAAAAAAAGGCACAACACAAAAGCCCAAGAATAAAGCTGAATCAAGAGACGATACGTAAGTTTTTATAAAATACTATAATTATGCCATTTGAAATATTAGTGAAAGTCAAAGTCTAATTCAATGGTCTCGACATGATCAGTAATATTAATAATTGAATTGGCTAATTTTATAAATCTTTGGACAATTCTATAGAATGCAATAATTTTATCATTTATGAGTAGTAATTATAACAGAAAAATAATGTTTTAAGACATATCTTTTTGGTATTTTAGTTAAAAGTAAATGAATTAATCACAAACTAAGTTTTTTATACTGTAAATGAAACAGATTGCGTTGATTTAATTACTTGTAAATATAAGTTTTATTTGCTAAATCAAATTAATGCATTGCAATTACTTAACCGATTAGAAATTTTCCATACATCGTTGTAACCCAAAAATGTNCTGATAACAAAAAAAAAGGCACAACACAAAAGCCCAAGAATAAAGCTGAATCAAGAGACGATACGTAAGTTTTTATAAAATACATAATTATGCCATTTGAAATATTAGTGAAAGTCAAAGTCTAATTCAATGGTCTCGGCATGATCAGTAAAATAGATAAAATAGATCAATATGTCCACTAAAAATGTACACTATTAATACACAAAAATATTAATGCAATTTTAATATACTTTTATATAAAAACATAATAAAATTAAAATTGATTTGAATAATCTAAAATGTAGTCGATATTTTCACAAAATATTTGTTGTACTATTTTAACAATAAAATCATCCGATTGGCACAGTGCTACTACAATTTAAAATACAAAATTTCTTTATTGTAACAATTTTTCTATATAGCAATTCTCTGCTATCTGCTTTTCACGGTATTATTATTTTTATTTTATTTGATTGTTTATTATTCTGTCTTTTGGAATTACTTAGTTATTTTTAATATAATATAACAAAAATGAATTAGTCTTCAGTTTTTATGAATGATTTTTGAATTTATGTCAAAAAAAAAAACTAAGAGTAATTTATTATTTATCTAATTTTGAATTTGAATAAATTTTTGTCGATAGAAAGTTACACTACGATATTTAAAAATAATCGATAAAAATATCTTAAATATAAAATTTTTTTTCTGAAAATAATTCGAATAAATAAATACTTGACGATGTGTTGTAACTCATGTGTATAACTCGAGTTATATTTTTACATTTATGCCAATAGACATAAAGTAATGCATTTAAAACATTCATAAAATATAAAAATCATTCAAATAAAACATTATATAAACATATATTTTAGATATTTATTTTTATTGGAATTAATGTGATTAATATATTTATAACACATTGTTTTTACAATGGAGCCATTAAAGGATTTTTAAAACATTATTTTTCTTGTTTGAGAAGGGATAATCTTATTAAATATCTGATAAATAAATAATTTTCAATTAGCACTAATATTACAGTTTTTTTCAGTTTGATCTATTCTATGTAATTATTATGTTTTTTTGTGTTTGCATAATAATATTCCTTCCTTTTTATTTCCCAGCACTTAAAAGTGGTATTTTATGTAATTTCTAGTAACGAACAAATATTGACAAAAAATGAAACTTCTTCCGCACCACCAGTTGTAACAGACGTTTCGGCACAAAAACCTACCACCAATGGCACTGCCAGAGCTCAACGAAAACATCACAAAACTTATCACCATCATCATCACCATCATCCTCATCACTCACAGCACCATCATCAGCACCACCAAGCACGCAAATCAAAAGCCCAAAACAATAAGCCAAAAGCTGGAAATAAAAATAAAGTATATATACTTTAAATTATTATTATATATGAAAATTGTATTTATTTAAAATTAAAACTTTATTAAAAATATAATTTTAATTTATTTTACAAACAAATAATAAAACCACCTCTAATAATTTAAACAATTGATTTTATTACATTTATATCTAAAATATTGATAACTTTAGAATCCTGTGTACGAATATTTAAACGTATGTTTGTATTTTAATTGTTACAGGTAACAAAAAATTCTCCTCCAAGGGCCAGAGCTACGATGTATGGATTAAGCACTTTACGACGAGATGGTGACGTTAGCGTGAACGTGATGAGCAGTCACACCACTGTCAAGACGAAGTTTTTGGTCGGTCCATTAACTTTAAAAGTAGAAAAAGAAGTATGTAAAACTAGCAAAAATTTTTATCCAACATGAGTCCTCAAAGTTTTTAATCGACCCATACACTGCTGTAATCATATCCCCATAGCAAAAATGATTATATGTGATGATTATTTTCGTTTAGAGAGGGAAGTCAAAAATGATCTTATGTATATCTCTCCCCCATAAAACGAAACTCAAATAATGCCACAGAAACTTTTCTATTTTTTGTTTATAATCATATTGAAAATACATTTATAGTGTGTGTTCAAGATTTTTAAGCATAGAAAATGCTTAAAAACTAATCCCTAGCTGTATGATTGTGATGGTTTAAAATGTATAATTATTTTAAACGTGATAAAAGTAATAGAAGTATTTATGTTTTGATACTTAAATCAAAACTTTTTACCATTTNCTTGATCCAACTATGTCACGTCACCACTGTGCCGCGACCCCCCTGTGCTGGGTTTTTTTTACAAAATATTCAATGCGTGTACAAATGGCTAAAGAGTAACGTAAATTGAATGTGTAACAATCAACTTGCACACACAGATAACTTATGATTTTTTTTTCTAGTTCGGCCGTGGAGCCAAGAAAGAGATTAGATCAGCAACAGCTACTACCGGTGAATTAATCGGCCGATTAAATTTGCGAGTGTTGAATGGCGGAGCGGCTACGTTACATTCAATTCGCGTTCATCAACCTAAACAAGTACACGATAATATATCTGATAGTTAAATACTAAAATGGCGTAGGGCTGTATATATTATGGGCTTGTCGAGGGTATTTGTTTTCCGAACGTTAATACTTAATTATTTCAGTTGAAGGTGGAAAGTGCTGACGATCACGACAAGACTAAAGAGTTCGTATGGAGGAGATCCAATATGATTGCACATTTAGTATCACAAAAGTTGACATTCGCTACGAAATCTATGTTACAACCCACCCCAGAAAAAACTGACACCAAAGTGTAATTTTAATGTAAGTATTACGTAAAAACATATTTAAAACGTATAATTATTAAGCACATTTATTTATTTTATATTCACTCAAATTAAATATTTAGTTGCTTATTCTTTACAAATTCAGAAAATTATAAGGTTTTATGTAGCGCCACAAAAATCTTTTTTATGTTAGGTATAGTCTGATTTGTTAGCGTATATCCTTCAATATAAATAGTATATAAATATTATTTTTTTAGGGTATATGTTAACTAAAAAAAAATGAAGACGTCATTGTAAAATTAATAACTTCTCAACTTCGCATTAAAGCTAAAAATTGGTAGTGGGTAAATGCTGTATACTGCTAAAACACAATTAGCCTCAATTACTTAACTGTATGAGCTGTGTAAGAACATACCCCCAATCTTAACATCTCTCAAAAATTTGAAAATAGAAATGACTCTTGCACACCGATTTCTGCAGCATTGGTTCTGCATCAATTTCTTTAAAAACTACTCTTTAGTTATTATTTTAAATTACTTAACCGTTTATAACTTTCTGTAAAATAAAATTATTTGAGTAATTATTTAATGAGATGCAGAGAACCATAAGTTTCTACCTGAGCATTTGTTATAGATTAATTATTTTAACCACTTTCAACGTGTAACAAAAGTTCTATCTAGAATAATTTGTTATTTTTACCAATTACTCATATATTTATAATTCATAGTAAGTGAATTTTTAATTTAAACTTTATTCTACAAAAATATTACTTATAAACATAATTATAATTTTCTGTAACTTTTTTTTTTCAGAATCGCAGTTCATCTGTACATATAATGGCTGATTAAATTATAAGATTTTTTCACTATTTATTTATTTATTTATTTTATACCTATTTAATTATTTAAAATATATCAATTCCATGACATCATGAATGTAAAAATAAACAATTTTTCGGATATTTTTTTGTATATCTCCTTTTGGATAAAATCCTACAAACTAGTTGAAATGTAGATATGAAAAATAAATTCGTTTCCAAAGTAAAATAAGTGGTAATAACCTTATTTTTGTTTACATCATAATTTTGAAAGTTATAAACAAAATAAACTAAAATATACCAATTGAAAAAAATTGTAAAGTGGATACTTTCAAAAATATCTGTAATATAGAATTCAAATTGACTATTATAAAAATTTGGTTTCAGAAGTTATTTTTGAGGGAAGCTAAAGAATGATAAATATTAAATTTGATTTTTTTTTTTTATTACTTAAATAATATTACATTACATAATATTACATTAATATCTTGGATTAAAAATTTAGAGACTATGAATTTCAGATGGGGTTTGGGCGACTTGAGCCCACCATATGTATACCCCTGATAAAATACATTTACATGTATAATGCATTAAAATACATTGTTTTCAAATACATACATACAGTACATATCTAGGAAATTTTTATAATAATGAGTTGATGGTAAAACAATTTTTTTTAAATTTATTATTGCCACATAGAAAATAAATATACATGAGTTTATTTTCATAAAAATTATGAAAATGTTAATAATGTCATCTTATTAACCATCTTTATAAAAAAAAGTTTACCAAAAACACATTTGCCCCCCTCCTATAAACTTATACAGTTGGGTATATTATCTTATTGAAATAATAAACAATTATACATTTGTTTTTTTAATGATAATAATAATTTGAAAAAATTAATTACAAAAATGATAGTGAGTTTCCATGCCAAGCTGACAATTTTATATTGATTAATAAATTAATTTGAATTAACCTTTAATATAAAATGATAAACAAGAAAATTCATTCATTCATCTAGAGAATTTAATTAAAACTTAATCTTGTAAACAATTGATGTCAAGTTGCATAAATACATATTTAAAAATTAAGATGTTAATACAAAGTTATTTTGAAATATGAAGCAAGCATTCGTGTAACAAAATTATAATCTAAGATGACTAAAATTAAAATTGCATAAACACTTGTTACAGGAGATACATTATTTATGTTAACATTTCTGTAAAAAATTACAATTGTAAGCATTTATGTTGAGCGAACACCAGAGCTTTAGGTCAATATAAAAATGTATATAAGTTCTACAGTGGTCCCAAAATCAATTGGTTATTAAATTATTGAAATATAATGGTTAACAAATTATTGAATTAAAAATTAAGTTACAAAAACTAAAAAATAGGTTGAATAAGATCCATGGTTAAAATATCACCATTAGCCATAAAACAATATTAAATATTATATAAATAAAATAAAATAATTGATATAAATAAAATAACTATAAAATACAATAAATGTAGTATTGGTTTAAAAAAAAATGTTTTAACAAGTTCTAATGTTAGAAATCATTAATCACAGTTGTGACTTTATAAAATCTTATTTGGTTGATATATAGTATTCAATTAGACAAATAAAACTATCTTATTTTATACAATATATATCATTTATTTAAAAATTACATGGTTCAAATAAAAGATAATGATATTGTACAAAAGAAGTTATAATAAAAATAAATATAAGAAAAAATGTACACAACTTATTTGTCATGTGTCTAGGTTTAACAAAATTAATAAAGAAAACCCAATTAAAAAAGAAAATAGTATAACATTTATTTTCTGATATTTTAACTTAATTTTAATATGATAACAATAAAATGTTATAATACTATAAATTTTTGTAAGATTTTGTACATAAGTCAAATATTTGTATGTACATTATATTTTTTTGTTATCTATATCATTGAAAATGCAAATTACTTTTAAGTTATACACAATTCTTAAACACTTTTAATAAATTTTTACATAGTGCTTAATTTGAATTTTTTCAGTAAAAAGCAATAAATAAATAATAAAATAAATAAAATATTTTTTGATTATAATAGTGCTACTTTTAAACTGTATATTATAATAATAAATTGTATTTATACAACAAATTTAAAATTCTGTTGGTAATAGATCAATGCATAACTCAAAGTTATAAATAGACTAAATAATATTATTTATTCCAAACAAAATAATTATTTTCTGATACATAAAATTTCGGCCAAATCACCAATTAAAATAATGCTTTAATAAAATACAGAAAATAAGTAGCACCTGGCAACTCAAAAAGAAAAACTAATTGTTAAATTTATCAGAAAAAAAATTCACAATAAAAATTGTATGTATTAATTTATAATATTAGATAATCAAATAACTTAGAGAATATTTAAACATAAATTTTCATATAAAAATTATTAAGCTATCTAGATTACATGATTAGACTATAAAAATTAGGCCATAAGTTTGTTCAACAGAAATATAGGTCCCTAGTTAATATATAAATTTCTTACCATACTATACAATACATAATAATTATTATGTGCGCACAATTATTTTGAAGGAAGAACTTTTGTTTTTGTTAGTTTTTATACACAAATATGTGTAACGATCGATGAACTGATGGTTATCAGTCTTGGACAATCCACTGTAGGATGTTAAGTCCCTAAAATAATAAAATTAAAGGTTAATTTTTACTAAAGACAAAGCAGTTACATATCTCAATCTTAACAGTAAATAATATTTATTAAAAAATGGTTGCTACAAATTTAAAAAATTAATATCCTTAATTTTCCATGATTTTTCAGTCAATTTTTAAACATTTCTAACTTGACATAAGAGGTGAAGGTATACATTATTTAGGGGGCTGAGTGTGATTTTATCAATTTCCCCAAATGATTTTTATAGATGCTTGTTACCAATTGGAATTTTAGAAATAGATGGTGATTCAACTACAAAAATACTTCTTAATCTACCCTTTCCTAGCCTAGAGGCATAAATATAAATTTATAAAAAGATTTGTAAATTGAAATTCCCCATTATTTTTAATATAATTAGATTATACATAATAAAATTTGTAACAAAATGATTTAATCCTCAATACCTCCCTTAAATAGTGTAAATATGATAAATTTGATCATTTAAGTATTACAGACAATATCTTAATAGCATTTTTGTAGTTTACTAATTCATCAATTATGCCCTCAATATCTATATAAGAAAAGATTTTTTCAAATAAAAAATGACAAATGAATTTATAGTATATTATTAAG